GGTCTTTGGCCCTGTTGAGTTTCTCCAGCAAACTCCTCCAGTCTCTAGTCTGGGCATGCAGCAGGGATGAGGGTAGCAGAATTCCACTTGAGCTCTTCGCTTTTGCTCCACTTGCCATCCGTGTCCTCCACCCTTCCTGCAGTCCCTATATGAAGCCTTTCCAGTGTGGTCTCTGGAGAAAGAGTTCAGTCTCCTTTGCTAGGCAAAGAGGGTGAGTGGGAGACCTGGGTTCTGACCTCCCTATAAAGAATCTCAATCAATCCCAGCTTTTAAAATTGTGGTTCATCCTTAAATTCCACAATTTCCAGCACCCCAATTTCTGAGTCCTGCTGAGGACTCAGCTTGCTCTTTAATCTATCCTGCTCTGCTAAGTCAGGATGATCCCTCCATCCACTTTCCAGCTCACAGAATGCATTTAATCTCTTCTCCACTGACATCTCCTCTGTCATTCTCTGTCATCATGGACCTGTACATATTAAAACTTCTCACGGTGCCTTTAGTGGCTTTCTGTGAGGGAGTGGAGACAGACACATACTTTCAATAAGCTGTGCAGAGTACTAAACTAGGACTGTTCCCAGAAATTCCAGAGTGGTGATCTCTAGTCAGAGTGGCTGGGGAGAGTAGCCAATGGTCTCCTTGGACTATCCTGGACAAGTGGAGGCCAGAGATGATGGCTGAGCATTAACACATCTTCTGACCCTAAAATTCCCCACTCTGCAGAGTTTAGACTTCTAACAACTCCAGACTGCCAGATCTGAGTTTGAGGGACACAGAGATAGCTGGAAGGGAGCTCAGGAATCATCCCAATGTCGCCCAGTCTCAAACAAAGCCCCACTGTGTATCCTGATGTACACATGCAGGCCTGTCCTCATTTCTGCACTTGCAGGACATACGGCACCCCAAGATCATTTGCAACTAGGTTTCCACCCACATCATCCCCTGGAACTGTCCTGGCAAAGACCACTCTGGAGCTCCTAATTGCCAAATTCAAGAGAGCCTACGCTGGTCTTCTCGGCAGCCCCATGACACTGATGAATGCTCACCTCCTTTTTGAAGCTTCCCAAGATCATTTTATCAAGTTACACCAATAATAACCATCACAGTTGAGTTGATTTGCTTTTCCCTGCTCACCCCTCACTACTCCTCCCCCTGCCCGAGACACAGTGGCTCCATCTGTTCCTAGCTGCATCTCCCCTCCACGCCTCCCCTCCCTTTGGTGCTTGAGAGTTGGGAAGGAGCTGGGTATTTCAATTTTCCTTAAGGAATAGTAGTTTACATTAATTGTTTAATGAGAGTTAGGTACTTAGAAATCCTTTAATGGACACTGGTTTGCATAAGCTGTTTGCATTTAGATTTTTCTTTAAGGAGTGTTAATTATTTAAACCATCAATAAAACATTGAGGTTTAAGTTTGCTTAAATCATACCCTGGGGCCAAGTGGGAGACTCACTTGGCTCTGTAATGAAGCCTTCTAACTTATGTGTGTGTCTTCCCCTGTCGGCAATATGGTGGAGCTCTTTACAGTTCTTGATCGCTGGTGAGCCATTTGTAATAGACACTGAGGACAATGAAGCCCCCAGAGAGGGCCATGCTGGGGTACTTGCTGAATTGTGGCATTTAGAGTCAAATGCCAGGGCCAGACAGCAGACCTGAGGCACCACACTGAGGACCAGAGACCAGGGTCTGCCACTAGCCTGAGAGAGAAGAGGCAGAAAGGTTTTCCAAAGCCTCCAGTGTGTTCTCTCCCTTTTTGGCCAGTACCTCCTACTGTGGGAATGTGAATATAAAATGTATTCATTTCCTTCCTCCTGTCAGGAGAATCCAGTCTGAACTTTGAGGTTAGACCCCTGAGAAACCAGATCCTGGTAATCTTGGGACTAGTTTGCAGGGCTCTTCAGGGAATCCTCTGAAGCCGATTCCCTGCCTCAAGCAGGAGCTATGGGGTTGCCAAAGATCCCTGCCCTTGGCTGAGACCAGATCAATACTGAGCAGGATGAGCCAAACCAGGGCTCAGTCATTAGGCAGAGGGTCCTAACATCTGATTAGGGACATGACCTATGACCTGCAGACCAGCTGTCAAGAAGACTTGTGCCAAACCAGATGGGCAGCATCTACAGACAAGGCCTTCTGAACTTCCTACAGCAGTGGCTCCTAAATTTAGCTGCATATTGGAATCACTTGAGAGATTTAAAAAATCCCAGTGCCCAAGTTAAGTACCCCTGAGCAAGGGAGAACCAGCGACTAGACTCAGGCCAGCCCCACTTCCATATCAATTCATGGTACCCAGCTGTGCAAGCCAGAAACCTAGATGTCACCTTTGTGGCCCAAGCATCACCAATTCTTCCAAGGCTGCAAATGCCCCATGCCAGCGGTCACCTTCACACAGAAGACAGTGTGCCTGATGATGCTGAAATGTGATGCTGTGGCCCTGTGTGACTCTGACACATTAGGATCCCTTCCTGTCTTCTCCCCATTCCAGTGGCTGCTGCTTTCCTGCAAATGCCTCATCACTTACCAGACGTTTCAATTGTCTCCTGACTGGCTCGTCACTAATCCAGTCTCTGCTTTGGGTCTGGTGATCGAAACATCAAGTCTATTCATGCCATTTCTCTGCTTAAAACTCATTAATAGATCCTCATTGCTTTCAAAATAAAATATGGACCCCTAAGCTCAGCAGTGAAGACCCCCTGCAAAATGACCTCTTTCTCCCAGGGCCTCGTTTCCCACCCTTACCCCCCCTCACACCCTCTGATCCTGCCCCTCAGTGCTACATGCTGTCACACACCTCTGTTCTTCCCTTAACTGCCTGCCAAACACATCCTTTGAGTTCCACCTCAAAGGCAGCTCCTGTGGGAAGTCTGTGCAAACCCTGCTGGCCCCAGAGAGTTCCTCATACCTAGAGGCCACCCCTCCATGCACGCGTCCCACAGCACTGCCATTATTTTTGTACATCTGTCTCCCTTTTTCCCTTCAACCCCTTGGCACTGCCCGAAGACCTTCATCTGCAGACCACGAGGACCAAATAAAGAGCAACTGCCTGGAACACAGGGCAGTTACCATTGGGTCCACTTGCTTCTGCCCACTTTGAATCTCCTCTGCACTGGCTTTCCCCAGCCTGACCTGCTAAATTTGGCATTTTGGTTTTGTTTTCTGTGGATACCACTTGAACTAGTTGCTTGTGATCATGCTGGTGGGCCACATAATGCTACCTCTAGGCTTTCCCCTGCCCTGCTCCAGTCTGGGCCCCAGGAACATGCTGCACAGTTCCCCTCCAGGAAAGGGATTCATATGTGATTTCTGATGTGCTTCACCTTTGGAACTTAAATGCCTAATACAATGTGTAGGACTAGACCTGGCCTTTAGAAGATATTCACTTACTATTATTGGGTGGGCAGCTGGATGGATGGATGAACAGGTTGGCTGGTAAAGATATGGATAGAAGAACAAGTGGACAGATAAGTGGATGAATGCAATTTCCTTTTAGCTTGCCTTATTCATCCTGATCCCTCCCCTCAAATGGGCACAACTTTTCTACTCTGATACCTCCCCTGTGGTGACCAGCCAAGAGCTACAATGGCCCCTCGGGGTGTGAATCCAAGTTCAAAGGAAGACCAGAATGTCATACCAGGTCAACAAGGAGGCCTCCCTTCCCTAGCCATCTGCTCCAGTGAAAGTCTATAGCACGTAGTTCAGCACTTGATGAACTCCTAAGTTCCAGTTTGGTTGTAGGCATCACTCATTATCTTTCCCTGGAGGTCAAGGGCTCCCCTTTCTTATATCCCTTTAGTCCCATTTTAAGCAGCTTTTGTGTGATTGTGACCAAAATACTAAGCAAGGACAACTTAGAGGAGGGAATGTTTATTTGGGGCTCATGGTTTCTGAGGTATTAGTCCACAGATGGCCCACTCCATTGCTCTGGGCCTCAGGTGAGAAAGGCCATCATGGGGGAATGGCATGGTGAGAAGGAAACTGCTCCTGTCACAGCAGCAAGGGAGTAGAGACAGAAGGGAAGATGCACTCTTGCAGGGCACACCCTCAGTGACCCACCTCCTCCAGCCATGCCCTGCTTGTCTACAGTTATTACCCAGTTAGTCCACCCAAAGGAAGATGGGCCAATTAGGTAACAGCTTTCATAATCTAACAATCCACCTCCAAATTTTCCTGCATTAACAGGAGCTTTTGGCAGACATCTCCAAACCATAAGAAGCCCCCAGCTCAGTTCTAATATACAGTAAGTGCTCAAAGTATGCTTGGTTCCTGGGAGAGAAAAAAGCCTCCTAGACATGAAAAGCAAGGCGCTTCCCTCATTGAGGAAGAGGTGGCCATTCTTTCTCTGGAATGCTCAGCCTCTGCAGAGATGGTTTGGCATCTGTTTCTCAATCTGGAATAAATGTTCTGGATCAAGGAGTCCCATTAAAAAGCCTCTCAGAGCACTTAGGGAATTATGCTTGGGGAGTCATTCTTGGCAGCAGATAATAAATCAATCACAGCTCAATGAAAATGCTGAGTTAGAATGGGATTGCTCAGGCCAAGCTCAGAAAGGAAATAGGGATACCCTTTCCCTTGAGACCCGAACTCTGAGGCTTTTCTGTGGATTTAGGCTCTGGACTTAGAATGAGCAACTGTCTCTGTTTGCCTGGTTCAGTCCCAGTTTTAGCCACTGTAAATTCTGCATCTTGGAGAACCCCTTAGTCCCAGGCAAATAGGGACAGGTGGCCACCCCAACCAATGCTCTTTTCCTCCCCTTGCCCATCAGCAGCCTCTCTGCACAATGCAGGAGCCCTGTGTGTGCCTCCATGTGTATGTGAGCTGCACCCTGCTTCCAGCTACCATCCTGGCAGTTACCGTGGTAGCAGGGTCTAGTCTGTAGCCAGGGAAGAGCAAGTGGCTCCTGTCACCAATCCTAGGGACTGAATTCTGAACCTCACCACTTGCCTTGCTCCTCCCCCAGCTTCCAGTTGGGGAAATGACAGGAAGGGAAGGGAAGAAAAGCAAATGTACCTGAAGGAGGGAGACATTGGCAAGGCTGAGTCTGAAGAGGTAGTTCCTGTGAAAACAGAAACAGAAATTGTAAGCCAAGCTGGTTCTGCAGGCAGGACCCCAGGAAGCAGCCTCCTCACCCAGGCCTCATGGGATGCCAGGACTGGGGACTGGCTACGGAGAGCCTCAGGTGGGCCCACACACAGGGAGGGCTTTACCTCCATTAGCTCATTTAACTTTCCCACAACCTTGGTGATAGATACAGGAAACTCGATTTTTGCTGTCAGGAAACAGATTAGGTCAATGGCCCAAGTCACTGAGATGGTCTATCAAGGAGTTGAGATTAAAACTCAGCCTTGTCCACCTCCAGGCACTATGTTATATCTGCTGTTGGTTGGTCCCCAAAGGAAACTCTTGATGCCAATAAATAAAAATTAGAGGAGACCATTCTATTAGACTAAAACCTCACACTGGGTCTAAAAACCAAAATTGAGTCACTCATGCTAAAGTTCCCCATCACCAAACTGAAACTGACCTTCAGAGAAATCAGGAGAAAGAGAACAGGCACATTTCTCAAGAAGGCCAGTTTCAACTTGCCATGATAGTGGAGTTGCCTCCGCCTTACACACACACACACACACACACACACACACACACGCACGCGCGCGCGCGCACACACACACACCATAACTTGAAGTAACCTGATGTTCACCAATCAATTTATTTCTACTGTTCTATCTCCCTGTCCTCACCTCATGAGGAAAGTAACTCTGAAACAACCAAAGTGCTTTTTGTACTTTATTTCTGCTTTTTTCAGCCCTTCTATGTAAAACCAATCTCTTTGGTTCAGCCCATCGGAACCCTTATTCTATTTTATGGAATGAAGTGTTGCTGCATTCTAGAATCAAAAATAAAGCCAGTAAAGATCTGTAAACTAAATTGTCATAACTTGTCTCCTGACTCCTACTTTTCCCAACCACGGACCCTGTTTCTGTTCAATTTTAATCTCACAGAGCTCTTGCAGGACTCAAGCAGGCCGGCTTTCTCCTCCCTTCCCACCGCCCACACCACTTGCCCTCATTTCCTGTTCTCAGTGACTGGACCTGCCTTCTGCCCAGGTCTGACCTTTCCATGGCCACCTCCCTAGAAAACTCTGTCCCCTCCAGCTCAGTTAGTTACTCTACCCCCGACCCCGAGGGCATAGTGTTCCAATTATTTTTTAGTGTGTGGTAGTGGGGATTGAACCCAGGAGTGCTCAATCAACCCACTGAGCTACATTCCCAGCTATTTTTAATTCTTATGTTGAGGCAGGTTTTGTGAAGTTGCTTAGGCTGGCCTTGAACTTGTGATCCCCCATCTCAGCCTCCAGAGTAAGTGGGATTACAGGTGTGTGTCACTGCCTCGGGTTACACTAATCTTCCCCAAACACTGTTTTCATCCAGTGGCCGCTCCTTGAAAGCCTTAAAAAATAATAATGTTGCTGCTAATAATAATAATATCAGACACTGTGTGCTCTTAAGTATTGGTGCTGCTCTGAAGTCAGAAGACTGCCACACGGGGACTTGGAACGCCTGAGTCAGAGTGCCATAGGAAAGAGACTTCAAGTTCATGGGACAGACCCTGTGGCAGAGACAGACAGAATCCCAGGTGAGCCACTTGCTGGGGGACCTTCTGCGGGCCTCAGTGCTGGCATCTCTTCGATGGAGAACTAGTGAATGCCTGTAGTGTTTATTCCACAGGCCCACGGAGACACATTAAAGGTGTTATTAATGACAGGCAGATGTAAAATCTTGGTTTTCCCAAAGGATCTCCTTTTTTTTTCCTTCTTCTTTCTCCTTTTGGCCATTCCTCTTTGGGTTCCTGAAATTTCTAGGAATAATTACTTCAGAAGACTCTGGCTTACCTCAGCTTTGCTGAGAAGAGAAATGAGGGGAAAGTTGTGGAGTGGGCCAGAAAGGGAAGGAGGGGCCCTGCTGGAGGAGGCCAGGGGTGGAAGGGGACACCTCAGGCCAGGAGACTCCTCTCCTGGCTCTGGCTACAGGCCCAGGCCCCACTCAGCTCTACTGCTATCCCAGGGCTGGGCGGGGCTCACTCGAGACCTTGGCGCCAGGCCTCTGCTGTCCCTCCCAAGGCCCCACACAGGGTCTTGGCAGCGCTTCCCAGGCCCACGCTCCTGGCCTGGGGACAGATGGGCTCCAGCTTAGGCTCTGGCCCAGCTGTGTGCTCAGGTGACGCAGGCAACTGCTCACAGCTTTAACAAATTAGGGGAAACAGCGCAGCACTCGATTCATTTTTATCCCATCAAAAATCATTCATCACAGCATCTCCAAGGGCTCTTCTGGGAGCAGGAGGATGAGAACAGAGAAATCTCTGCAGTCAGACCCACCCTCAATCCCATAGGGAACAAGGCGGGGTTATAAATGGAGAAAAAATATCCCTAGCCTGAATTTCAGGTCCAAGGGGGTCAGGAAGACAGAGAAAACATGGCAGGCAGAGAAGGAAGAAGGAGGAGAAAAAGCAGACAAGCACCCACAGCCTCAGCTCTAGAGGCATAAGGGACCAGTCCAGGATGGGCTTTCCCTGTCCATCTGAGAGCAGAGCCTGGCTCAAGGACTCAAGCGTGCCTTCAGCAGTGCAAGGGAAGCCTCTGGACCCAGAAAACATAACCACTATTTACATGGGGAGGCCCCAGAGTGGATCAGGAGGAGCACTTCAGTTTCCTGGTTCATAAAATGGAAGTAATCATAAGAACTAGTCTCCTGGGGTTACAGTGTAGAGAAAATAATTTACTGCCTGTGTGATTTATCACACATATGATTTACTGCATGTATGATTTATTACATAGATGCTACATAAAATAATGCCTGGCACATGGTAATTTCCAAAACACTTTTAAAAATTCATTATTTTCCCAAAATGCTTTCACAAGGTTCAGAGCAAGGAGTCTTCAGATGCTACCCTTTGGGTTTTAGAAAGTACATATATATAAACTGGTGGAATCAGAGTGGATGGAAGGATAGCATGAATGTCAGTTTCCAGGTTACAATGTTGCCCTACAGTTAAGCAAGATGTGACCACTGGAGGAGACTGGGTGATGGTATATAGAATCTCTACATTGTTTCTTACAACTGAGCGCGAATCTAAGATCATCTCAAAGTAGGAAGTGAAACAATTACTTTTTTCACCATAAGATAAAGTTTAGTCTCCTTTATACCTGCATACATACAGATGACCCTCAGGAGGATACAGGGCACCCCAGGAAGGGTCTGGTGTGAGGACATGGCCCTGCTTTTCCCTGGGCGCTCTTTTGTAACTTCTGAATGTTACATCATACCACATAATGCTGGTGCAAAATAAACAGTTAATTCATATTTTTAAAAAATGAAAAGAAAATGCTTTCAGCCCCAGCTTCACAGCAGCCCTATAAGGCTGACAGCATAGAGACTAAATCCAGGATTTACAGATGAGGAAACTGAGACTCAAAGGTCAAGTTCACCCGGAACAAAACTCTAGCTCATCTGTTCCCAGTTCAGCTCTGTTCAAGACTTGGCCTCCTTTTCTCATAGCAAATGGGAGTCAGAGGCACAGAAGGCCAAAAGGCAAGGAAGGCCAGCTTCACAGAGCAGCCTGGAAAGGCCCAACCCAGGGGCGATGCCTCCCCAACCCCAGACCCACTGAATCAGAACCTCAGGGGTAGAGAGGGAAAACTAACGATCAGCGCATTCAGAGTGCATAACACAGACTCACCCACAGGTCAAAACTAGCCCTGGGGTTAGGAGACCTGGGTTCTGGTCCCTGTGTCCTTTGTCATTGTGCTAGATGAGGAAGGTCCCCTTTCCCTCTCAGGGCCTCTGCTTCTTCATGTTTAAAATGAAACCAATCCAATCACACCAGCCAATCTCAAACTTGAGCCTGCACCAGTCACCTGGAAGGCTCGTTAAAATACAGGTTGGGGCCCTGCCCCCAAGTTTCTGATTCCAGAAGCCCAAGAGTTTGCATTTTCAACCAGGTTCTAGCAGCCGCAGAAGCTGCTGACTCAGGGACCCACTTTGAGACCCACAGGATAGGCCATCTCTAATCTCCCTCCCTAATAGGATGCTGATCTAGGATTCTGAGGAATTAGCCCCTCCCACTCCACCCAGAAGATCTCATGGGGTCTCCCTAGAGAGTTTTATCTGAACAATGAGGTTACCCGGAATAGGCCCCAAGGAAGTAAGGCCATTCATAAAAGCAGCACAAGGCTTTTGATAGGCACCCGAGGCGCAGGTGGCCAGCTGACCAGCAGGGGGCTCCTGGGCACCTTCTCTGTGCAGAGTTCCCGGGAGTTGGCTAACTAGGCAGGTCCTGGCATAGCCACAGGGACAAGGGCAGGAGGTGGCCAGCAGGCATCCTTGCTCTCATTTCTGCCAATCACTAAAGAATGTGGCTGGCTGAGATCAGGATGCCAGATAGGGTCAGGCCCTGCCCCTGCCCCTCCCCACCCGCTGACCCCCACCTGCTTCCTTCCTTGGGGGACATTCAGGCACAGAAAGAGTCTAACAGAGAGGACTAGAACCCAGAATGTGGGTCATCTCCAGTAATCGTCTCTATATCCAATTCTGAGCATCCCACACCTGACCCCAACTCTCCTGCACCTCATTACCTGGCTCCCACGATGAGCTGGTTCCTGGAGGGATCCAGAGCGAGCTGGGAGAAATCTCGGGCTCCAGGGAAGGTGAAGTTAGAGACCCACGGCTTCAGATCTGGTGGAGGGAGAGGTAACCCTTCCGTTACTGTTGGACCAGGGCCCCCCCGCTGCACCAGCCTCAGATCAGAGATGCAAAGAGGTGAAAGTCAGGGTGAAGTGGGGTAGAGGCCCCAGGATGCCTGGGTTCCACCTGCCCACCTCACAGGGCAGGCAGTCATGGGACCCTTGGTTCAGAGGAAGTCTCCACCCTCCCCACAAATGCACAAAGGGACACCTGTAACTGCCCTTGACTCCCCCTTATCTTCAGCAGCCACACCAGTACACACTGGTGTGCCCTGTCTGTTCTAACTCCAGATTGTCCCCTAACTCCATCTACTTCTTTCTCTCTGGACCCGACTCCCGCACACAAGCAGTCATCATCTCTTGCCTGGACTGGTGCCCGCAGCCTCCTGACCAGCCTGGCTTCCACTCCTGCCCCCTTTAGTCTTTTTCTCAAAGGCAACCAGAACAATCTTGCGAGTATGCTATGTCACTCTGAACCTTGGATCCCACCCCAGCTCCTTAGGAGAAGTCTTGACTCCTCTGGGAATCCACTGTCCTCCCAAGTTAAATGCCTAATGATCCATTATTTAGGGATCAAAAAAAAAAAAAAAACCAAAACAACAACGATATTTCATCTCTCCCTCAAACTCTTTACCCTGGTCACATTAAACACTTCACACACCTCTAAATCTATCCCATAAGAGCCTGCAAACCTTTGCACCTCTCTTCTCCCTTGATGGAATAGTTCCTATCACGCCCCACCCCACCTCCTCCAAGAAGCCCTCCTGGGCTCCAGGGTCCTTCTGCTTTAGTGCCATCCTAACCCCATCACTCTGTGCATCTACCCTCGGGGTTTCTTCCGGGGCCTGGACAGATCTTACTTCTTGGATATCCAGGCTCAGCCCTGCACCTCCTGCTGTTTGAATGAATGTATTTATACCCCCCAACTTCTACGAGGAAAGACAGGGTTTCAGACAAGATTCTGCAGAGATGGGAGGAATGGAGGGCGGGCTGTCAGTGTCCACCCCTGTTTTAAAAGAAGGTTCTTCCTAGCCAAAGCCAAAGCCTTGACTTTTCAAATGAATTGAATGGGCAGAGTAGTCTCTGGGAGGGCATGCCTAAGCTCTGCCAGCTAACTTTTCCTCCTTCAAGAGACCCACTGCTCCCAGCTTGGCCCACGACAGCTTAATACTCTTGCTCAGCCCATGCCTCATAGCTGGGAGGGAACTGGCACCTGTGAGGGGAGAGCAGTAATGTCTGTGGGGGGTGGAGGTGAAGGGGAATAGGAGGCACTGCGCTCTCACAGCACACCAGCTACTGGCTCTCATAAGGCCCAGAGGAGGGCGTGTGCGTGAGTGTGTGTGTGTGTGTGTGTGTGTGTGTGTGTGTGTAGTAATCCAAGGGAAATAAATCATTGCTCATTATCCCTCCACTACAGAGTAAAAGCAGCCCTTCATTTCTGCACGACAGGCAAACACTTAATCGCTCCCTGGAGAACTGGAGGTTTTGCGAGTTGGATGTTTTTCAGAAAACTGTGATACGCACGATTTAAAAAAGAAGAAATTCTGCAGCAAAAAGAAGCAAATTCCTCAGGCCTGCCCCTGCTCCCAGCAGGTGACTACGGGTTGACAGAACCATCATATAGCCTCAATGGCATTTGGGTAATAGGCAAAAGGAGTAGATCTTAAGTCCAGTGGGTGGGACTTTAGCTGATCTCAGGCCACTCTTGAAATCCTGTAGGATGTTGTATTACCTTAGAGACTAAACCAAGGGCCCTCCCTCTCCAGGAAGACCTCCTGGGTTATGACCTCTCCACTCCTGGTTGTATTTTGTTGTACATTCTCTCCTACCTTTTATGTTCCACTCACACTGTATATTACTGTCACAGTGAATGTGCCCATGTTGTGAGTGTGTGTGTGTGTGTGTGTGTGTGTGTGTGTGTGTGTGGAAGGAGGTTTGCCTGTCCCCATCAGACCAGGTGCTCCCTATCAGTGGCAAATAGGTTATATTTTAATTCTCTCCTGCTGACAGGAGCATTCCAGATGTGGGCAGCTGGGTGGGGGAGGAGGTGGCATGGCCAGTCCACACCAAATACTTCATCTGGGGACTTAGCTCAGTCTTCATTCAGGTTTTTTTTTTTTCCCCCAGAAAGGAGGGAAGGAAAGGAAACCGAGCCAGAGCAGTAGACAATGGGGACCGTGGGGTTGGGGGCCTCTTCTAGTGTCTGTCTCTCCCCTGAAGCCCCTCAGGAAGGCACATGGCAAATGGAAAGGGGTGAGCGGGGAGAGAGTGGCCGGGCGCAGCGCCGCGGTCCCGGGGGAGCCTTGGGAAGGGAGCCAGCCTCCTCTTATTAAACAGGCAAAGGGACCAGAGGGAAGGCTGTCTTTAAAACACCAAGCACGTCCTGAGCTCCGTGTGCAGCAAAGGCTTTGGACGGCGACTTTAAGAGAAAAATGACATTCTCCATGACGCGCCTGTGATTTTAATTATAGTCAATTCAATTACCCACTTTGTGGATTAACCACTGCCAGTGTTAACTCCAGACTGGCTTCTCCCGGCCTCCTAGAAAGGACAGGCGGTGGCAAGTGGAACAATACGCAGGCCACGGAGAAACACAGGTGGGCCCCCTTAACAGAAACCCAGGGGGGAGTGTTTAACCTTACAAAACAGAAAACCCGCCAGTCAGACTCTGGAACTGGCAGCTCCTCTGGGGTACTCAGGGGTTATTCACAGATCCATCAGGTGTCAGGGGACAGGGAAACTCACAGCTGCAAAGTGGGAGGCCTGCCACTCAGTGAGGACTGAAGGGAAACGGCTGGGGGTCAGTGCTGGGCTGGGTCAGTGCAACTGTCCAGAATCAGCAGGGCCTCGCCGCTCACCCCGTGTGAACCGAGTCCCTACTGTGTGATCAGCCGTGCTAGAGATGCAAGGGGACCCGAGAAACAGTCCGGATTCCAGGCCAGCAGCCCCGGGGGACCAAAGGCAGCCACCTTTAAGGAACGACATGAGGTAACTGAGTACCCACAGGAAATACCCTTCCCTTTCTAAGCCCACAGCCCGGCTCTGTGCCGGGGCACCACCCAGGCCCACAAAAATTTGGTGAGCCCAGCATGGGCAAGGCCCTACGTTTGATCCTTGCACCCCCCACATACAAATGATAATTTGGTGAATGGATAGGAAAACTCAAAGCTGTCAGAATGGGGAAGTGGAAGGTGGAGTGGGAAGTCAGATTTGTCTAATTCACAGCTCAAGATCAAAATAGTCTCAGGGAACCCAGGCACTCAGGCTCTCCCACCTACCCGCACCACACACACATTTTGCCCTGACACAGACCAGGAAATGGTCCATTAGGAGCTGTCACAGGGGCTCCCCAACAGCCCTAGGAATTCTGTTCCTTCTGTCCCCTCACTTTAGTGACAACCACCAGTACTCCAGGGGCCATCAGATATCTGAGGGTATGTGCATTCTGCAGGCTTAGGACATTGCTAATTGCCTATAATCCACTTAAGGCTTCAAAGCTTCAGTGCAGAAAAGACAGCTGGAAACTTTCCCACTTTGAGAAGGGAAGTGGAACCCACACTTTCAAAGTGCCCCCAGCCTCCCCACCCAGGAAGCCCCCAACTCCCATCCTTGTGGCCCCTTCTATCCCTCAAATACCACTCTAGCCTTAGAGTACTGATTGCTTTCTCTGCTCTGGTTTCCATCTCGTGGGGCCCTACTGACCAGGTGGAATCCCACAGGACAGGGTTGTATGTCCTCCTGTCCAGGGTACGGGAGGGGAGAGCACCTGATTGATTGTTCTATCACAGGCCGTGGAGTCAGGAGACAGACCTACTTTGAGGTTCTGCTCTGAGTCTTCCAGCCCTCACACCTCAGTCTTCCTGTTTGTAAAAGGAGGTGACAATCTCCTTGCCTTGCTGTCTCTCCCCAGTGGAGTTAATATGAGGAGTCGGCCAGTGTTGATCAGACTCAAGAACCCAGGGACCCTGGACACTACGCCTGCAGATTCCAGCGTGAGCCACGGCCACCTAGATGGTAGATCCTGAAGTTTGAATGTGATCGTAGCACAACTAGAGACCCTCAAACTGGTTAATGGGAGAACATCCAGGCCTCTGTGGTGTCTGTGTTTTGCTTTTTGGATTATCATCAAATGTATATAATAATTTTAGAAATCATGAAGAACTTATGGACCTTTTGGAATATGTCCAGTGATTCACAAATCCCAGTTTGGGAAACACTTTAATAGAATACTCCCACGCTCTCTCTTGACACACAGGGCCCCCTTTCCATGGGGGTTCCCAGGACTCCAAAGCCAGGCATCCCTGCAGCTGACTTAGAGCAAGAAGGAAGCCTTCCAGAGCTCTCCAGGCAATTCCTAGTGAGTGAGCGGCTCCTCTGTATCCTCCCCTACAGCAGCCAAGGAACGGAGCCTATGCTTCCAGAACAGCTCTGAGACCACCACCAAATCTTGCCACTCTCACCTGAGGCCCATATGACTTCATTCTCTAACTAAAGAATCCCAGCAAAAGACTACAGTGGCCCCAGGAGGTGAATGAAGGGCCTGAATAAATTACCTGGAGACAAAAATTAGACCCCTCCCCGCAATGTTACCTGTTCTTCTTAAAATATCTATCAGATGATGAGTCTCAGCACCCTAACAGGAAATGAACATCCCAGGGGCTTCCAGCAGCTGGGAAGACCCTGCTGAGGCCTGACTTCCTTTCTGACTTGGATGCTCTCACCTTCAAAGGCCACGGTAGGATGCTCCTTCAGGCTGCACAGCTGCTGCTCACCGCTGGACTCACTGGAGATATCCTGGGAGCTGGAGAGGTGAGATACCAGCAGGGTGAGGCTGGGAAGCAGCAGCAAGATGACCAGGGGTCTCGGTGCCATCATGGTGGATGCCTTTGCGGTCCCAGCTTCTGGGGACAGCCTGAGGAGAGGACCTGAAATGCAAAACCCAGTCTCACCAAGTGTTCCCACCATCGAGGCCCACTTCTCTCAATTTCCTTTAAAGACCCCCACAGGGTTTTTAAAGATAGATTGGTATTGTATTTATGTTATTCAGAGTTTACTAGTAATAGAAAGTTATAGATCATGTCTTGAAAGCTAATTTTCCTTGTAATGGTATCCTGGACAAAACTGACAAATTATAGAGATTTTTCGATTATGATCCCAAATGGTTGAAAATTAGTTTTAATCATAGAGGTGGTATTTAAGAGATTTTAATAAACAGAACTGGGGTAATAGGTAGCCATTTGTAAAAACAAAACAAATAAAACTTAAACCCAAGACCTTACACCCTATACTAGGAAAAATTGCAATTGGATAAAAGATTTAAATGTTAAGGATAAAACCATAAAAGTACTAGAAGAAAATTTGGGCAGAATCCTTTGTATTTTAGAATGAAAAACTATGACTCAAGATCCATAATCCATTAACAACTCTGACTACATTAAAAGCACAAACTTATGTATGATTATGTAACAATGAGCCCTACTATTGTGTATAATTATAATGCACCAACTTTAAACAATGGGAAAAAGCACAAACCTGTGCGTGTCCCCCTCTCCCAAAATAATAACATTAAGTAAAATCAAAAGGCAAATGACAAATTGAAAAAAAATTGCAATTCTTATTACAAACCAGAGACTAATATTCCTAACATATAAAGAACTCCTCAGAACCAAAAAGAAAAAGACCAAGAATTCAGTAGGAAAGTGGGTAAAAAATATAAATACAAACAGTGCTTAAAATACAAATGACACTTAACTTCACTCATAAGAAGAGCAATACCAATTAACACTTAGGCTTCTCAACTATCAAGGTAATAAAAATCCAAATTAGAGAACACATTTTTTTGGTGAATTTGTGGGGAAAGGGGCCAGTGTGGGCAAAATGGCATATCCCCGTGGAAGGTAGCCTGGGAGTATCTGGCAAAACTGCCCATGTATTTACCATCTGACCCAGTAACCTATTTTGGAGGACTAGGCTTGCCATCCTCAAAGTGGGGGGTCTGTAGACAAGTGTGGATTCACAGTGTAATGGCTCTCAGTGAGACAGATGCAGAAATGTGAGAGTCAGGTGCTGGGGTCATAGTGCAGTGGTAGAGCACCTGCCTGGCATGTGTAAGGCACTGTGTTCAATTCTCAGCACCACATATAAATAAATATTCATTGACAACTAAAAAAAATGAAAAATAAAGAAATGGGAAGATCAGTATTTAAAACCTTTATAATAATTAAAGTAATGTTTATGTGTATTAAAAATATTTGGAGCTCAGGGTACAACTTGGGGGTAAAATGCTTACATAGCTTGCGTGAAGCTCTGGCATGATCCCTGGCACTGCCAGAGAGAGAGAGAGAGAGAGAGAGAGAGAGAGAGAGAGAGAGAACAGAATATTCGGGCTTGCATTTTGCATGTTGTTTTTTCAATTCTCTTCTCTAGTAATTTACTTTTATTGAATTTTACATAAGTATCCATCTGCGACAGATTGCAAATTGAAAAATCAAACTTGCTCTGTCACCACAGATAGTTAGGAGCAAAAATAGACTACAGAGGCACCTGCACATGTGCAAAGTGACTTATGTATGAGATTATTCACTGTGGCAGTCTTTGAAATGATAGAAAGACAAAAAACACCCAAATATCTAAAAACAGGCTGCTTAATTAAGCTATGGTGCATCTTTTAATGGAGTACTATGCAGCTGTGAAAAGAATGATTTTCTCTTCTATGAAATGAAAGGTTGAACTAGATCAGGGGCTTCTGACAAGGCATGAAATGAATCAGAATCACTTCCTCTGGGGGAAGAGGCCTGGGTTGGCAGGTGAGGGTTCCAAAGGTGAGATCCAAAGGACCAGAAGCCCCTGTGGTTGCTTCCCACTCCAGGACCTTTGCTCCTAACTCTTCCTCTCTCTTCTACCTCCCTCCAGGTCTGGAAAATAACAGTGAGATTCTTTTCCTCCTGCCTAAGGCTCCCCATGAGTGTGAAATGGGTTGATATTCATCATTTGACTTGCTGCAGGACCTCAAGGAAATAATGACAGACACAGCTGCTCTACCCTGCCCTGTCTAGCACCCCACAAGGAATTAGTTCCCATAGCCCCTCTTTGATCCCCTCATCCTCAGGCACAAACACACACATTCTCTGCACTCCCCAGAAGGGCCTGGCCACTCCTCTCAGTAGACACACAGAGAAGTTGAGTCCAAACTTTTTCACACTGTAACTCACACAGAGTTTGTCTTGGTGCTAGGCAGAGTCTTCTTGCCATATCGGGTTTGGCTCTTCTGTCTCAGCCTTGGTGCCCACCATAACTCTTCCCAACACTGGTCCTTGACCTCTCAAACAGGGCCACAGGAAGTGGAGAACAGGGTACCAAAGGGTAAGAGCAACCTTCTGGAGCCAAATAACCTGAGGTCAAATCCCAGCTCTTCTTACTAACTGTGTGACTCTGAGAAAAATACTTAAACTCTCTCTGCCATAATTTCCCCAAATCGGGAATGATAATGACAATAACCATTTCACCAGCAGCTGTGAGGATTACAGGAGTCACTGCCATTAAAAGACCTAGAACAGTTCCTGACAGACAGTGAGCAATCAACTAGTGTGAGCCGAACTGCTGCGGGCAGGAGGGTTCCCTTGGGCCCTTTGACATTGTGCTGGATACTTCCATTGGCACCTCCAAGTCTACTCTCTCCTTCCAGAGACCCCTGCATGGACTGCATCCAGGCCTCCTTTTCCTCCATCTGGTTTGACCAATGGAGCTGCAGGAGAAAGCAGTGGGAGTTGACTATAACCCCGACAGGCCAGGGCTCCTGTGTGCTCCTCTGCTTCTAGGTTTCCCAAACTCTCCTTCCCCTTCCCTTCAGAACCAGGGGTGGTACCACCCCCCGGGGTTACCAGCCCCAGGTACTGCACAGTGAGCATCCTACATGGTCCCCTACCACCTTCCATACCCTTGTGAGCTCACTATCTGCATCCTGTGGGGAGCCTTCTGATACGACACATCATCAGGAACTCAAATATCATCCTCTGAGACCTTGGCTTGGGCTTTTCTCCCATTAAGCCCCAAGGACATCTAAGTTGGCAAGACACCTGTCCTCCCTCATCATCCTCAGCCATCCCCTCCCCCACTCTCCCCTCCCAGGCTTCCCTTCCTCCCACCCAGGTCTGACTACCACAGAGCCTAGGAGACACAGGGCTGGCACTCTGGGACCAGATCCTGAGCCCAGGGGCTTGAATTAAAAGAACATCCTTGGCCCCTTCTCCTCCTTGAGTCCCCAGGCCCTAAGTCTCCTAAGTCCTGTCGCAGAAGTTCCATTTTCATTATGGTGTTTATGTAAATATGTCCTCCAAGTCCTTCCTGAATCAATAATTGCTAAATTAATATCAGTGTGTCCACCTGGGCCTCAGCACAGCATGTCTGTCTGCTGTTTCTGAAGAGAAGGGACGCAGGGGACATGATGGGGGCAGGGCAGGGAGAAGGTCAGTCCTGAATCCGGGATCTCCTCTCTCAGTTACCTTCCCCCTGGGTGAGGGAGGAGAAAGACAGAGAGAGGCACCTGGACACGCACACAGCACACCCCAGAGTTACCCAGAGGCTGCAGGCCACAGGAAAAGCCTGCACTCAGGTCAGTGTCCCCGTCATCAGGAGCTGGAGACTCACACTTGGACCTATTTTGCCATCACTTCAAGGACCTCCTTCCCTCGTGCAAGAAAGGCAGTGAGCCCTAAGAGGGGTGGGAAGCAGGGTCAGAGGAGCAGAACAGCCAGGAAGGGGCTGCAGAGTGGGGGTGCCGATGGCCAGAGCACAGTGAGCCAGGGCGGGCGGCTTAGCAGATTTCAGCAGAACCCGGGTTGGGGGACACCCTAAGAAAAGAGTGGCCAATTCTCACATCACTGAGTGGTACCAGGCCTGACGTTTTGAGCAGAGCTCCAAATACTTGGATTTTATTTTTATTGTTGTTTTGGTACCAGGGACTGAACCTGGGGACACTCTACCACTGAGCTACATCCCCAGCCCTTCTTACTTTTTAAGACAGGGTCTCACCAAGTTGCCAAAGCTGGCCTTGAACTTGTGATCCTCCTGCCTCAGCCTCTGGAATAGCTGAGATTACAGACATGCACCACTATGCCTGACAGAGTTCTAGATTGTGTGTGTGTGTGTGAGTGTGTGTGTGTGTAGGATGACTTTCCAACTTCCAAGAATTCCCCATCTTTGGAAATTATCTGCCCTCCGTCTGTGGCCAAAGGGGTAGGCCTCAGAAGTCTTTTCTGTACCACATGATCCCCACCCCACAGCAGCCACAGCTGATGCAGCAGGGTAGGCATGTGATATAAATAGACCAATCATGTGCTCTCTCATAAGCAATTTGGGTGCATGACCTCCAAGGGTCAAGTCAGTCTTTGCTAAAGAACCTAGAAGGTGGAGAGGTGGCCCTAGGGAGCTGGAGGGTGGTCCTCTTCCACAGACCATGTAGATGAGGACAATCTGAAGATAGAGACAGTGACAGGAGATAGGAGAAACTGTCTGGGATGCTGACAGCCTTGAGTTCCTAGTTCTGGCCCTTTCCTGAGGTCTGGCAACATTCTACTTCCGTGAGCCACCCCCTCCAGGTCTGATAACATGGAAGTGAGAGGGCTGCCTGTGGGGAGGAGGTCCTGTTCTTGCTTGAGCCAGCTGGGTTGTATCTGAGCAGGACTTGCCAGGGCACTGCCTCCTGTGCGTGTGTTCTTGCCACCCTCCTTTGTGGAGCACACTCTTCACCATTGAGGGGCAGGGCATGTGTCCTGTGGAGACCTCTCCTGCCCTCCAGACAGAGGTGGCCAGTGAGGAAGGTGAGAGGTGCCTGAGGAAGCTGCGAGGGGGGTGTGGGTTTCCATTAGCCGTGTGCTCTTTAACCTCCAGAGAAGGATGGTGGTGCAGGAAGGCAGACGCAGGCCGCCTGATGACACAGAGTCTGCTCTCCTCTGCCTACCTCCAGACTTCTTTCCCAGACTTGACTCTTTTTTTTTTCTTTTCTTTCCTGATTCTGGGCTTTGAACCCAGGTCCTCGAGCAGGCTAAGCATATGCTCTACCATGAGCCCTGCATTTCTGTGCCTCTCATTTCTTTGTCTGTAAAGTGGGGGAAATAACACCCATCTCTAGGAGTTGTTGCAGGATTAAATAAATTATTTTATTGAACAGCTTGGAGTAGCACCTGCCATGAAGTTCGTGCCGACTGTCATTATTATTACTAGAGATGAATACACCCCTAATTTGTTTAAATGCTATTTTTTCAGGTCTCAATTATCATTAGACAAACACCATTTCTATCCAAATACGGCTTGGTTTCTTATACTTACATTATAAGTATAAAAATATACTAATATTCCTAAGACAAATAAAAATTTCTATTTCTAATAAGTGTGCCTGATCTGATGTTAAAACAATCTCCCTTTCTACAACAGCAGAGCATAGCAAGAAGCCATCCAATTTTCCTGATGGTTATACAGTACAACAGAAAGCCCCGAGCTTGGGAGAATGCAAAACCAGGGTGCAAAAGCCTCAGGTCATCACCTCTAACTAAGATTAATAATTCCTTGCCTTAGAAAGAATGCTCTGAAGGCAGAGTAGGCCTATTATAGAACCCGTTCCTGTAAGTTGATTGGTATAGACAAAACATTCAGCCAGTTACCATTCATTTCTATGATACTTCACTGAGAACTGAACACCTACTATGTGCCAGGCCCTGTACAGTGGGGAAGCAGAAGTGGGAGAGGCTCAAATGACAAAAGCGTGCTCCCTGCCTGCAAGGAGCTTATAGTTTAATGGTATGTCCATGAAGGGCAGGGGCAGTGACCTGGGACCTGGGGTTACAGGGGACACAGTCTTCACTCTGTCTCTGGCTGCTTGTCACTGGCACGGTGGTGACAGGGTGCTCTGGGAGTGGGGGAAGGAAGTGGAGCACCAGCTGACTCCAGCTATTTTGGGAAACCCTGAGACACGAGGAAAGCACTTTCCCGAATCTTAGGCCAGAGCTTCTCTTGCCTTTGCTGACTCTGCTGTCCCAATTCCTTGGGTCCTTGCTTTGGGTCGCTCGAATGGAGCCTGGAGGCACAGGAGGAGTGTGCTTGTGTGAGAGAGAAGGCACCCCAACGCAGGCACCCTGGAGGGCTGCTCGCCTGCTCTGGGATTTCTCCAGGGCTTGTTTTCCCGGCACAGATAGTAAGAGGAGAATTGGCTGGAACCCAGGGAAGGGGTGAAGTCTCAGAGGGATTGTGAGGGAGAGCGAGGGAAGGGCAGACAGCCAGGCCAGGGCAGTCAGGAGGCCCAGTTTGAGGACCTCTGCCCTTCATGCTGGGGTGAAGGATGAGGGAGGCAGAGACTCGGAGTGTGTGTTAGCGCTGTATCCCCCCCCACAGCACAAACTGGCCCCCAATAGGCTCTCCTTGAACAACCATGCCCTCCCCTGCTTTCCAGAGGGCCCATCCAGCATGAGGAGGAATCGGGGGTCGGGGGTCCCAGCTCTGCAGCAGTTCACAGCCCAGTGAGACCAAAGCTTTGGAAGATCAGCAGGAGAGGCTGATGAGGGGGTCCTATGGGGTATAAGATGCCATGTGCAAATGGAAGTGAGAGGGCTGCCCGTGGGGAGGAGGCCTAAGATGCCCATAGTAGAAGGTAGACCTCAAACAGGGCCTTGCTTCCCCAGCCCAGGGCCAAGGGCACTCAAACTGAGGGGACAGCATGGGCAAAGACTTGGCCCTGGACATCCTGAGATAATCCACAGATACTGGCGATGTGGGCAGAGGGAGAAGAGTCTGGAAACTGGGGCCAAGTTCACAATGAGACTTAAGAACAAATCTAAAGCTCCGGAAGGTTTTTTGTTTGTTCGTGTGTTTCCTGCAGTGCAGGAGGACCCAGGGATAGTTGGGGACACTGGAAGGACACAGTCAAGTCTGAACATTAGAAAGTCAGATGGCAATGGGCATTGGGAGGGAGGGGTAGAGTAGGCTGCTTGTCCTAAGGCACTCGAATTGGAACTGGGCACTTTCTCATTCAAGAGAGCCCAGTGTCACACCCAAAGCATGGCTAGACCTCTTGTACCCATTGTGAAGGATGCATCAGCTCTGATGCAGGGCTGGGCCCCCTAGAGGCAAGGAGAAGGGAACTGGAGGCCCAGGTCAGAGGCCATGCTGTCCATGAAACCGTACCCAGACAGGAACAGGAGTACCCCTCAAATTGCTGTTGACAAGAAAGCCTCCTTCCAGAGCAAGCAAGGACCTCTTCTCTTTTTAGAGGGAAAAAAATAATGTTACCAAAAGGGAAAAGACAACTTAGAACCCTAAAGATAAGGATTCAAGTAAAAACGACTAAAGCAGATTGAGCGCACACCTGTCACTGTACTGAGCTCTTGACCTGCAAGATATCATGGCAAATTTGTAAGAAAGCTGTTCACAATGGAGTTTCATTCAGTCATAAAGAAGAATGAAATCATATCATTTGCAGGAAAATGGATGGAACTTGAGAACATTGTATTAAATGACATCAACCAAACCAGAAGTTCAAGGGTCCTAAGTTTTCTATCATATGTGGATAAAAAGGAAAAGAAAGGCTGAGGGGGGGGCAGTCTCATGAAAATCAAAGAGGAATCAGTAGAATAGAGGAAAAGAGGTGGGGAGAGGGGGAGGGAAAGGAGAAATACTGGGGAATGATATTGGCCAAGTTATACTGTTCTGTTATGTACCTATACGAATGTGTAATAAATCCCACCATTGTGAACAACTATAATATGCCAATTAAAAATATGAAAAAAAAAAAGAAAGAAAGCTGATAATCATTCTCAGTTGACAGAGAAGAAAGACAGGTGATTGAGCTGGGGGCACCGGCCACAGGTCCCAGCACCAGTGAACAATGGAGCTGAGATGTGAACCCCATAGTGCGGGCCACTCCACTCTAAGGCCATACTGGCCCTGGTCCTGTGGACACCGTCCACAGTCCTGGCTCCACATCTCTACAAGCAGTCTTCGGAGTTTAATTTGGTTTCCTGAGTGGGCTTTCTTCACAGGGAGAGTGCTTTCTGGCTATAAATTATTAAACTGACTTCCTGTTGCAAATCAGCCTCCTGTGAGTTTAGACTGTGGGAGCCACTTTTTCCAGATCCTGAGAGGCCCTGGAGAAATAAATTCCAGAGGTTCCCGATGGACAGCCTAGGGCAGAGTCCAAAGTGGGAGCCAGCCTGCTGACCGCCACCCCCAGCCCAGGCCCAAGAGCCAGGGCCCAGGGCGGGTAGGAGTGAAGGACATGCTTCCTCTGGTCCCCACCCCAAGCTCTACCCAGGAAGATTTGGGGGAAAGGACCTCAGGCGGGTCCTCCTCTCCAGGACCCCTCCCTCCTGGCCTCCACTCAAATTCTTTACTTGGCTGCTTTCCTGGGAAGAGGGGAGAAAAAGAGAAGGAAAAGAAAAGAGGAAATAGAGGGGAAACCCGGAGTGGCGAAGAATGTATCCGTCTGTGGTTTGGCAGCAGAAAAAGGTATGGGGGCGTCCTCACTCCCCCACGCAGGCCTAGGGCCCCTGGAAATCCCCACAAGGGCTTCTCCCAAGGCAGGCAGGGAAGGCATCTTCCCACCACCCATCCCTCACCACTTGGGGGGCCAGTTTAACCAAACTCTGCACAAAGATAAAATTGAGATGCAGATTCCTTCCCTTTGCTCTGAATACAGCAGATTGGATACGGATTTTCCTCTTTTCTTCCCAGTTAGACCGACTGGGGCCCAGAGGGAAGGTTGGGACCAGATGGGGGAGGGGTAGAAGAGGCTCAGAAAGCTCCGGAACCTGGAGGGTGAGGGTGTGGGGATGCCTTTTCCCTGCCCTTTCCCAAGGGCAAGCTCATTCCTGCCTCTGAATTCTGGGCCCTGCTAAGGATGGGGGCTGGGCTTTCCTCTCTTCTGTACATTCCTAGAAACTTCCAAGTTATGCATTTGTCCCATCAGTTTTTGGAAGTCCTTCCTGCAGTCGCACCCACACCTTTCTGAGTGCAATTAAACCCAAAGGGACAAGGTGGGGAGGTGGGAGATAAAAGAAAAATGTGATTACAGAAAGTTTAACAAGAGGGGCTCTTACCGGCCATTCGCAATTGAAGAAACTGAGACTTTGGAGAGAATGTCCAGTTTAAGATTAGATAGGGAACTAGTGGCAGAGCTGATACTAAGTAATAACAACAACCATGTTATTATGTATTAAGTGGTGCTCTGTGTTGTCTGAAGTGTGTCATTTTAATCCACAAGAACCCCATGGATTAGGCAGGTACTACTGTCATCCTCATTTTGTAGATGGGGAAACTGAGGCACAATCCAGTTAAGTAACTTGCAAAAGGTCAAACTGGCCGGGCGTGGCAGCACATGCTTATAATCCCAGCGGCTCAGGAGGCTGAGGCAGGAGGATCATGAGTTCAAAACCAGCCTCAGCAATTTATCGAAGCTCTAAGCAACTCAGTGAGATCCTGTCTCAAAATAAAATATAAAAAAGGGCTGGGCATGTGGCTCAGTGGTTAAGCAGCCCTGGATACAATCCTCAGTATCAAAACAACAAAAAAAAGTCAACTGGTAGATCTAAACCCAGAGTTGGTCTCAGCATACCACACAGAACTCCGCCATTCAGAAAACAGCTTTAGGACACAAAGCCTTGAGAATGGAGCCTGGGCCACCCCAGGGATCCTTGCAGGAGATGAAATCTCCTGAGCACTCTCTACAGTTACTCTGCACTCAGGACATGGGGACCAAAGGTCAGAACTGAAATCCAAGTCCAGAACACACAGGGAGTGTTCCCCTCACTTGGGAAAAGGGACAAGTGTAAATGTCCTGAGGACAGCTTTGTAGGAGAAGGCGGGCCTGTGCAGGAAGGAGTACCAAAGGTGCAGGGACAGACCTGATGAGGAAAGGACATGGCTGAGGGCCACTGCCAGGCCAGGCCTCGCACAGCTGCAGTGTGGCCTGAACCAGGTGAAGAGCGTGAGCGGTTCCTGCCTTGCACAGATGGGCACCACCATGGGCACGGCGGTGGGTGCCACCAAGGTGATATGATGATGAGAAGGGTTTCATTTCCCGTTTCCCAAATGTTCTGTAATATTTTATTGTTTTTGCAAGGAAAATAAAACAAAGGAGACTTGCCTACTTTAATTACTGGAATTAAATGCTGAGGACGTTGCCAAACACACACCCGCTTATCTATTCATTAGAGCGGCCTCCTGCCTCCTCCCCACGGGCAGGCGCTCGCCACGAAAACATTCTGCTATCAGATATTCTGGGGCTGTGTAAAATGGAAACTGCCTTTGAAAACATGCCTACAGCTCAGAAACAGATGCAAATCCAGTGACAGGCTTGCCTTTTCCTGAGTTTCCCGGAAGACTCCCTCACTCAACGCGAACCTTCGCAGGGGGGGGGCCATTTCTATTCCCTGTCCTGAGCAACGTCCAGAGAGCTAGTCCTATCATCCAAAGAGCTCCAAAAGAGATGGGTGGTGGCACAACAGTATGAATGTCCTTCATGCCACTGAAGTACCCTTAGCAGTTCAAACGGGTGGATGGGAGTGTAAAATTTACCTGGTAGAGACACCAGGTAAAACAGATGGCAGTTACTCAAAAAATTAAATGTAGAATTATCCTATGATTCAGCAGTTCCACTTTTGGATTTGTATCCAGAAGAACTGAAAGCAGAATATTGAAGAGATAGCCACCTCCATAGCAGCATTATGCATGATAGTCAAAAGGTCAAGCATCCCCCAAGAGATGGACAAATAAATGGATAAACGAATGAGGTATAAATGTACAGTGGAATATTATTTGGCCTTTAAAAAAGGAGGAAATTAGCTGGGTGTGGTGGCACACACCTGTATTCCCAGTGATTTGGGAGGTGGAGGCAGGACAGTGGTGAGTTCAAAGCTAGGGTCAGCAATTTAATGAGCTCTATGAAACTTAGTGAGACCCTTTCTCAAATAAAACATAATAAAAAGAAGTGGGGATGTGGCTCAGTGGTAAAGTGCTCCTGGGTTCAATCCCAGGTACACACACACACACAAAGGAAGAAATTCAGAAGCATGCTACAACCTGGATGAAACTTGAGGGCATTATAGAAAGTAAAAGAAAGCAGTCATAGAAAGATTACTACTGTGCAGTTTCACTTATATGAGGTATCAAATCCATAGAGATAGAAAGCAGAATGGTGATTGCCAGGTGCTGGGGGCAGGGGAAGTTATGGTTTGATAACTTCCATTATGCAGAATAAACAGAGCTCTTGAGATGAATGGTGTGATGGTTACGCAACAATGAGTGTTCCCAACTACTGAATTTTAAAATGCCTAAGATGACAAACTTTATTATATACATGTGTGTATATATATATATATATATATATATATATATATCATTACTATACTATACATATGCATATATATTTAGTATATGTATATATACTGTAAATCAACTTTTAAGAAGATCTCTTAAAATACACTGGGCTGAGATCCCTGGAAGTGTGCTAATGACCCATAGATGACGGGGTCTTTTTTCTCCTCTCACTCAGTCTTCACCCACTGCCATCCCCTTGCCCTCCCTCTGTGCGCACTGACTCCTGACCAGTGGGTGAAGCCAGCTCTTTACTGCCCATCCCCACCTTGACCATCTAGCTGGGGCATCAGGAGATGGAGTGAAGCTATGGGCATCCAAGACAAGGCCCAGGAGAGGCTGAAACCACCCACTGAAGAGGGAGGACTCTAGAATCCATGGCCGTGTGATGAGGCAGGCATAAGAGACACAGACAGGTGTGGGCAGGGCTGCCTGATGGAGCAGGAGGCTGCCCAGTGGATTCCTTTCCTGTTGCTGCTGACACAAATAACCATAGACCTGGCGGCTTACGACAGCGCACGTTATTATCTTACAGTCCCATGGGCTAGAAGTCTGCCCCAGGGCTCACAGGGCTGAAGGCAAGGTGCTGCCAGGCAGCTCACTTACCTGGGGGCTCTAGGAGGGGATCCCTCTCCTTCTCTTCTCCAGCTTCCAGAGGCCGCCCATGCTCCATCATCAAAGCCAGGAGCATCACCTTTCTCTAACCTTCTCCCATAGCTAAGCTCTGGCTCCCTGGGACCACAACGGAGGAAGCCTGCCACTGTGAGGACCCATGGGATTGCACGGGGCCCACCCAGTTCATCCAGCAAAACCCCTCCACCTCCAGGTCCTTTATGGAATCACATCCACAGAAGTCCCTCCTGCCATGTAAGGTGACATATTCACGGTTCCGGGGATAAAGCCGGGGGCCTCTTTGGAGGCTGTTATTCTGCCTGCCACACCCACCACAGGTCTCGAACCCCAGGGTAAACACCTTTCTGGCATCCAGAGAGTCATCTGTGCCTGAATTTCTGAGAAGGAGGAGCAGTGGTTGATAACCGTCCCCAGCAAGTTAAGTCACATGCTGACAGAGAGGAGAAAAGGCCACGGTCGGGGAGGGAACAATCAGGGAACGTGGATGTTCAGCCAGGGAGAGGGAGGACCAGAGATGCAGAAATAACAGGCACAGGAAAGTGTGACAGTCTCCTGTGGGAAAGGGACTGCCACAAGGGGGAGGTTATAGGAGAGACCTTACAGGTGAACCACACTGCAACCGAAAATTCATGAACACTCGCAAGAGAGTTATTCCAAAGGGTGATCATTATTCACTTCCCCAAAGGATTTTCCAAAGCATTCTCCAAGTAACAAGTTGCACTGTGTTCTTAAAATAGGATTTGCACCCGATTTTTCAGTAACACATAAAGGGATGCTTGTAAATCTATGGAAATGAAGTGAGACCAGTAACATCTGCTGATTGCCTTCTGTGCTGCCGGTGTCACCGGGAGACGGAAGGAACCACCGACTGGGAGACGGGCTCCGTGCACATGCGCGCACACACAAGCACACCCGTGGAAATCATCCCACTAATTCCTCTGGGCATTCCTACACTCACTTCACATGAGAACAAACCAAGGCTAGAGAAGCGAGGGACAGGTCCTATCAAGGAACCGAGTCTGGAGCTGGCCCAGAATTCTCTCTCGCTCCAAAGCCCTCTGTTCTTTGGCCCCTCCATAGACGGGAGATATTTTCAAGGCAACAAGGAGTTTCATGTTCGTGTCAGCAACAGAAGCTGCAGTCTGACACTCACGCTCATGGGGTGTGAACACAGAACATTCAGGGAGGTGGCTTTCCTAGTGGCCATTTCTGGGGTGATACTGAAACTTTCAATTAGGGACAAGTCTCTCTCTTTGGAGAGTTTTTAGGGCTAAGACTCCAGGAAGAGGTCAAAATGCCACGATGGAGTGGTTGACTTCACATCTTGTTGGGGAGCCAGCTGTAGTGGGGGAGGAGGAAGAAGAAACCCAGGGCACAGAATAAGGGCTTTGGCCACGTTTGACTTCCCTGGCCACATGTCCTTCTGGAAACACTACTCGTGCTTCAAAACAGGTGACGCAGAGAAAAATGCCAGGAGGTAGTTAGTGGACCCTCTGTCTGCTTCTCTGTCATCATACGTCCAGGTCCCCTCCAACCTCCCTGTTGGCCCTAACTTTCCTTTCTGATTCTTCCTCCCAAATGTGTGGTTCTCCAAGGTTCTTTTCTCAATTCCCTCTTCCCTTACCCTGGCTCCTTTTGAGTGGCTTCAGCCCCCATCTGTCCACTCTAGGCAGGGCTCTCACTTCCCCTGCTCCATCAGCTACCCAGATCCCAGCCCCTCTTTCTGGAGGACTCTAGACCACATGGCCACCTCCATCTCAGTGTCAGGCACGCGGGCATTACTGGCACAGCCTGCCCCACATGAATTTGTCATCTCTCTGCTCTCACCTGCTCCTCCCACCTTTCCCACTTCTGCCAGTGGCCCTACAACCCCCTCTGGGGTCAGGATTCACATCTCAGCGTTCCTAGGTTCTCCTGGCCGGCATCTCCCACACCCTGTCCACTGTCAAGTCCTGTAAGTAACTTGACCCTCAACAGTGGTTTCCAAACTCTGATGTCCTCAGGACTGGCAGGTAACACAGGAGCCAAGCAGATGGGGTGGGGGCCATGCAGCCTCCTCCTCCAGCTGATTATTGTGAGGACACAGACCCAAGCCTGTTCATTCTTATAGAAAATCCACACATCTGAATTTGCATCAAATTCCCTCATGTTTAAATGCTGGCGACCATTTGCATTTTTTGAAATCCTTACATGCACCAAATAAAACATGTCTGTCTGGGCCTCTAGACTTCTATCTGTCTCCCAATGGTCCTTTTCTCTGTTCCCACTCCAATATGCTAGTATGTCCACATCTCCCTCCTGGGCAATGGAGGTGCTCTGGAGGGTCTCCCTGGCTTACTTTCTCCCCCCACTCTCCACTGGTCTCAGGCTCTTCAGCTTTCAACTCAAGGCCCTCCCCAGGTGGAGAGAATGGTAAGGTACGGGAGATGGAGAAGAGAAGGCTGATGCCAGTCAGGGTGACAGAGCCATTAATTAACAGAGTTAAACATCTGGTGTTTAATTAACACCCTTCCTCTGCTTTCATTCTCCCTCCCATTAACTTTCCCAGGGGGCTCCACGGTGGGTAAGCTGAGCAGAAACCAGGAGAACTGATTCCTGGCTGGGTCAGGGGAGGGATGGAGAGGGGCCTGGGCTTAGTCCCTCTGTGCTGAAGGACAAGAGGACAGTAGCATAGTTCTCTGAGAACAGGCTAGGGAGAAGCAAGTTTGTCTTTCAGCAAGAGGGACTATGATTAGCCCAGAAATTTCTTGGGCAGGAGCTGGGGCCAGAGGCTTGGTGCCGAGGTTTGTACAAGGAAGTCCATGGCTCTCCTGTGGCTAATACTGCTGGTTGCCTCTATGATATTATTCTCCATTGTCCTCGATAACAAACCCCTGGTCACACAGAGGGGCCACATTCCTACCCTTGTGGGACTCTTTTCTCCCTAGTCTCTTCTGCAGTCATCGGTGCTCATGTGCATGTTCTGGCCAGTGAGGAATAAGCAAAGATCTTCTGTATATTCAGGGAAGGTGATGACCATCCTTAGGAGAGAATAGGCTTAGTGGGCATCAATCGCTTTCCTCTCTCTACCTCCTGCCTTGCATTTGAGTGTGATGTCTTGAGCAGCAGCCAGGATTTAACCATGAAAGAAGGCAAGAGTCAAGTCAAGAGAGTCACAGAATATCCTCATGCTGTTGAGACAGTGAGCCAAGACTGGAGCCCTGGGATGTGCAGACCCTGGATATAAGGACAGCAAAGTGGACCTCAGCATGGGCAGTGGAGGTCTGAGGGAGGCCCCTCAGTTTTGCCACCCCAGCACCAAACACAGAGCTTGCTGTGCAGTGAGAGTTTAGTTAACACAGGTTTGTATGAATAAATTCATGAATGGAAGGATGTGCCACTTCTTGGCACAGGTGTCCCAGCGATTACCAGCTGGTAGGAAGGAACTCTAGAAGCTACCTTGAATCCAGCTGATTCAAGACCTACCCTTGTTAGACATCCAGCCATCCTGGAACAGTCTCTCCTGCAGAAGTTCCCCCACCCCAATTCCCCAGTTCCTGTGATGCCCACCAACCCTCTTAATGGGCACTTAATCATACCTCCCTGATGGCCTCAAAGCTGGTTCCCTGGTTTGATTCTAAGCCCCCTGGAACAGACATCACCATCCTTTTTAAGCCCCAGAATCTACCAGTGTCTGGAACACTGAAGGCACTTGAGAAATGTTTCCATTTGAGAGACGTGCTTGGGAAGGGTGCTAAGAGGTTGACGACTTAAAGGGCAACTCAGAGAAGAGCTCCCTCGCCCCCCCCCCCCAAGAAAATAGTCCCTAGATGTCTACAGTACGGCCTGAAATTTCACTATTTGACATGGACTACTTTGACAAGGTGAGTCACCTCAAGTAAACAATTGGCCACTCTGAGCCAGTTTTATATAGGAGGAATCGTAATAATAAGACCTGTTTCACAGTGCCATTGTAGAATCAAGTCAGTATGAATACTCAGCGTAAAATGATCATTATAATAAGGCTTTAAGAGTGATTAGTCTTGGAAGAATCATCTCAGGAATTATTCACCTTGGAATACAATCTCGTAGAGTACAGAGTAGTCAGGAAGCTTAGATTTCCCTTTCCCAACCACCTCACTGATGGCCTCTATTCTATCTTCAAAAGTATGAAAGAAATATCTTGAGTGCCATTTCACAGAAGAAAGAGAGGTACCAAGTGTTGCAGGTGCTGTTGGTACCCCACCCGGCTCCCCACTCCTGGGCCAGGGCACCCTTCCACTGCCACCGCCGAAGTTGGCTGTTCATGTCTGTGCAACCTTCTCCAGAGGCCTGCCTGAAGCCTAAGGTGCTCTTCTCCTCAGGCACACCCAGGAGACAACACTCCAAGGACCATGGGAATAGAAGAGTAGAACCCCCTGCGCCCCCCCCCCCCATGTCACCATGTATGCAAGTGTGACAAGTTCTGTGGCTCAGGTCATGCTCAGGGCTCCATGTGGAATCAGGCAGCCTAGCTTCTCCCTGTGCTGCACCTGCTTCTTCACGTGGTCACTCCCCAGTCAATCACCTGCACAAGAGTCCTGGCACAGGCTCTGATTCTGAGGAACCTGACCTAAGACCAGCCACTGGGGGCCTCTGCAGATGAGGTAGGGGAAGGACAGGCTGGTGTCAGGACAAAACTGCACACTTCTCACTTGGCTCCGATTCTGCCAGCTCACCCTGTGTGCAAGAGAAACCAGGTACCCAGACCCAACCCTCAACCCACCCAAGGCTGTGGCTTTGACCCCAGCTGGTCTGTATCTGCGTCCTCCCTGCACTCCTGATCTCCCCGCTCCTGGTCTCTCCAAGGAAATGTGCAGATCCCCTCCAAGGCCCAGAAATATTTTTCTGGAAAGCTGTAAATCCAAAAGTCAATTGGTCTCCATGTCACCAGATTATCCGGATGGGCCCCCAGGAACGTTAAAGTTCACAGACTCACAAAGTATTAGTGTAGAAAGGGCCTTGGGAGGCCATGGAACTCCCCTTTACAGTTTAATGTGGATTATACTTCTGTGACTGTGCCTCTCCCCTCTCATAATTATGATCATTTTGGTCTGCTTTATCCTCCTCTAAACCACTTATACAGCTAAACAGAGTCAGAAAAGCATGAATGCTAATCCCCCACCCCAGGCCCTTTTTTCAGGATTGGTCTCCCCAGAGGCAACGAACCTGAGTCAGAGAGAGATGGTAGCCCTGGTGTGAGGGTCCAGGTCCCAGGAAAGGCAGGAGGAGCAGCTGTTTGCCCTCTAATGTGCCCCCCCCACCCTCCCAACACAGTTGGGAATATATTCTTTGGTAAAAAGGGGCAGGGGAAAACCAGTTCAATTTGGATCTCCCTGCTGTTAATCATGCCTTATGTGGGCATAATCTGAGGTAACCCTGTCCCTCCTCCTGGCTCCAGGCAAGACAGCTCCTCTCTGTCCAAGGTAGCTAGATTGCCAGGGGGTCACTTTATTGCAGCCATACTGCTTGGTGACCTCAGCAGTGTCTGGTACCCACCTCTGCCGGGATGTTCTTGCATCTTCTCTGCTGCATGAGCTAACCTTTATCAAGGTTCCCAATGAATGCTCTGGGCCTCAAGTCTTAGGAGAGGTCACTGTCTCTTTGAGGAACCCCTGTTTTCAGCCTTCCCTGGTCTTCTGGCCATTAATTATTGCTTCCTTCTGATTCCATTTGTCCTCAACAATGATCCCACATTTGCCAAATCCCAGATACCAGGCCTTCTGATGAAAATACACAGTGTATGCACTCTAATAATTATAATTATATCTAGGCTTTATTGCATTCATTTTTCTAGGACAGACAGTGTGCTAATTGTTTTATAAACGTGATCTCATTTTATCCTCACCATATGCCAATAAAATAAAGAAGCTTTTCTGCCTTTTTGAAGATGAGAAAACTGAGGCCCAGAGAGATTGGGTGGCTTGTCCGGGTCACATAGGAAATGGCAGGGCGGGATCTGCCTTCAGGTATATGGATGCCAAGGCCCATGCTCTTAGCCAGCCTGCTTCCCACCTCCATAGAGGGCTGCTGAAGAGATGGATCCCTCCGGGAAAAAATGGGGAGGCTTGGTGCTCACTCTATGGAGGAGGAAGCTTCTCGGCCCAGCTCAGCTCCTCTCACTCCGAACAGAGCTTCCTCCCTGTGTCCTAGTCCATGCTGGGTTCTGGGTTCATTTTCTTCATCTCTCAGGGTCAGAATGCCTGCTGTTGTCAGGGGCTTTGATCAGGATTCTCTATTCCAGCTTCAAAGGACAGCTGCTGGCTCCACGCCCATTCTGCTCCGCCCCCCAAGACACACAGCCCCAGGGTCCTTCCTGGAGCCCACCTGCCTTGATATTTCCTTGCCCCACTGAGCTTCTCACTGCTGTGGCCACCAGAGTCACCAGCCCCTTCTGCTCCCTCACTCTCACCAGCATGGAGAAAGTCACTGCTCATTAGCTGTGCCAGCGCCGGGGGTGGCAGAGAGCAGCGAGGCAGATAATCCAAGGTAGTGGGGAATGTAGAAATCTCTATGTGGCTGTGGAGGGTATTTTTGGACTTACTGTTGAATGTGGGTGTGTGTGATGTGTTGGGATTTCACAACACTTCAAACCAAATTCTGAAGCTAAACCAGCAGGACCTGACTGCTGCTTTTAGGAATTAGAAAACTGGCCACCCTGCTCCTATTTCCTGCTAGGTTGGGTGTCTAGGTGTCTCAGGCTGATGTCCAGCACCAGTTGAGACAGAGCAGCTCTCTCTCTGGGAGACGGACCCACACTTGCCCCTGACCCAGAGTTCAGACTGCAAATGCAGATGCCTACAATGACCAGGCAGCCAGGTGGGGTCGCGCATGCCTATAATCCCAGCAACTCAGGAGGCTGAGGCAGGAGGATCGTAAATTCTAGGTCAGCCTGGGTTACTTAGAAAAACCCTGTCTCAAAATGAAAAAGGATTGGGGATGTAGCTCAGTGGTGGAGCACCACTGGGTTCATTCCCTAGTATTGCAAAAAATAAAAAAAATAAAAAGACCAAGCAGTTAATAAGTGAGGCCAGTCAGTGAGACACTGAAAGGAATGGGGAAATGAGATAGGATCCTCTTCAGGAGGCCACTGTGGATCCTCAGATTGGCTGTGCTTCAGCTCCAGCTGATGAGAGAGGCCAAACAGAACACATCTGTGGAAGAATTCAGTCCAGTGACAGATGGTTTGTGATCTCCAGCCTGGAGGTCCCCACACTCTGGGCATCTGAATTGCCTGCAGGGCTTGTTATGGCAGGCTGCTGGAACTTTCACCCAGTTTCAGGATGGAGCCCACAAATTTGCATTTCCATCAAGTTCTGGATGCTGATGGTGGAGGGGCTCCACTCTGGGAAACACTGTTCCAGCCAAGCAGCGCAGAAGAAGGGAACTTCATGGTTTCTGTACCTTCTCATATTCTCTAGCTTTTTTTCAGTGTATCAATTCAAGAGGTAACTATGTCCTTAAGCAGTTGAAAGTCAGAGTCCTCTGAAGTAAGGGTGGGCATACACTTACTGTCAAGTGTTGGAAGATTCCACAGACATCTCATTCAGTTGTCACAGCATGACCACAAGGCAGGGATGATGGCCGCCACTTGACTGCTAAGGACCCCAGGCATGGAGATATTCATGACTTGTCCAAGATCACACAGCTAGGAAGTGACAGTTCTGGGACTGATGTCCCCATGAGACAAACTCCAGTGTCCTTGATTTTTTCATCCACCAAATTTCACCGAGAAACAGGGCCCACAAAATACACCTCTTGCCCAGGTTGAGCAGAATAGGCCTCTCGTTAGGGGCCCTTCAAGGTTTGTCCACCAGGGACAATTCTCACAGGAAAAGTTGGGTCAAGAGCCAGGAGGTTTGGGGAGGGGGACCGTTCTTTACCTCCTTCCAAAGAAATGGATCAGCCAAGAACTGGTCCTTGGTTACTTCCCTATGGCCTATAATTCCCAGAAGACAAGATGGGCTGGTCATGGGCCAGCACAGTGCCCTAGACATTCCATGCCTGGAAGCCACTCCTGTTCATGGTACCTTAGTCCTTGGGAATAAATCAGAGCAAGAGGGGAGAACTGGCTAATACCTGCAAACTCTTAAGGGCAGGGGCCATGTCTGTTGGCTCATTGCCATATCCCTAGCCGCTAACCCAGTGCCTGACATGCAGTAGACATTGTATTTGTTGAATGAGAGGATGACAGAATGCTGGAACAAAGGGTAGGGACTCTTTGCTCTTGGCCGAAGGGACTTTGGATAATGTGCCCACTCATGGCTGAAAATGTAGACACTCATAAAAAAGGAGGAGGATGGTGATAACTCGGTTCAAGGTAATTTATCAAGAACATTTTCCGAATCCATCACGGGTGGAGAAATGGAGATTTGAATAGGTCTGCTGAGAGCTGGCAAGAATAATGTCTTATTCACCTCTGCATCCCCAAACCCTGTGTCTGCTGAATGAATGAATTTGAGTCTCCTGCCCTGAATACCCAGCAGGGAAGGTGTTCACACTCCGCTGCGTAGTTGGTGGCTGTGTGCCCCTGGGCAGGACATCCTCCCCAAGGTTTTCAGGAAGGCGGGTGGGGCAAGGGGAGCAGGCATGGACTTTGAGCAGGAAGCCCTGGTGCCAGTCTTGATGCCAGCCACCCAGAACAAGTCAACAGACACAATCCCAGCAGGAGGGCAACGGTGCTCTTAATAATGATAGCAACAACAACTGCAGTAATAAAGATGATTTCACAGACTTGTGCTGAAGATGAAATGCTTGTGAATGTAGCAACACTGTAAATAGAATAGGCACTCAACAAATGCTTCTTGACAAAATGAATCCACTGACAGATCTGCCAAGCTGGATATGTTTGAAAGGAGTCCCTGACCTCTCCAGCAGGAAGTTCTCCCACTGTCTGACTTGCTTTTGCCTGTTGCAACTTAGCCTTTTTTTTTTTTTTGAGGTAATGGGGATTGAACCCAGGGGTGATCTACCACTGAGCTGCATTCACAGCCTTTCTATTTTTATTTTGAGACATGGTCTTGCTAAATTGCTGAGGTTGGCCTCAAACTGGTGATCCTCCTGCCTCAGCCTCCTGAGTCACTGGAATTACAGGCATTCACCACTATGCCCTGCCATTTAAACCTTCTCATCCAAGGTGGTGGGGAATAGGCCAGCAGGTAGTGGGACCTCTCAGCACCACTGATTCGTGCTTTCTTTCCAGGAATCCAGCAGGAATGGGCTTGCTGGTATCATGCACTGATGTCATGGAGAGTTTGTGCTGACTTTACTTATGATATGTCCAAACCAACACAAGTCCAAGCCAGTGGTAACAGGAATGGCTGTGCTGCCCCTGTGAGAGACATACCAGCCTTTTCCCTGACTTGTCCACGGCTGGTTCTCACCCTCAACCAGTTATGTGTGCATAAAACTCAGCTGGGGCCAGTTACCCCCAGAGTTTAAGTCAAATAAAAATTATTCTTGGATTACACCCTGTTTTTCATGATCTGTGCCATGGTTTGACCTTATCTAGCTCTTTACTCAATCCTCTAGCTCCAGATGGCCCCACAGATGCTACTGGTCTAGCACTGTGGGGGGAGACTCCCATCTGAGTTTGTTAGAGTGGTTGGGATATTGAACTGGGTGCAGCATAGGTGACCCAGCAGAAAAGTAAGGGTCAGGTATCACGCATGTCCCCTTCAGATCTTCCTAAGGGCCTGCAACCAGGTTGCCATACTCCCATTTAATAGATGAGAAATTGGAGACCTTGGGAGCAACTGTAGATCCAAATGGTCAGAGTGGGAAGTTACGCCCTCCCAGATTCACCCTCCTGTTGGCACCCTCTCCGTGCTCTGTGACACCCCTCTCTTTCCCAATCAAGCCTGAATACAGATCTGAGCAGTCTGGGATTAAGGGCTTGGACACTGTGGGAGAGCCTCTAATGATTAATGACCGGTGATTCAGAGTATCTATACAGCTGGTTTTAGAAATATAAAAACTAGAAATGATGGGTCTTAATGGTCCCCAGAAAGTCATTCTTGATACCCTTTTTGGGAAGTGAGCAGTATGGAGCAGGAAAGAGAAATGATAGGCACCTAATGCATCTGGGCCCTGACTCCCCACTCCAGCTCATGTTCAGGTTAGGTTTATGTCCTTCTCTCCCATCTTCTCTGAACAGCTTCCTGGTCTTGGGGCTCCCAGGACCCCAGTGCTTTGAGGGGAGCCAGCCAATGAGCTACTGATTCAGCACAGCTTCTGTGATGTGAGTAGACAAGGGTGGATTCCCACCCCTTGTGCTGCAGATAGGAAGGACTGGCAGGCTGTGCTCCCACCCTCCATTCTCTTTTAGAGAGAAAAAGGAATAAGGAGGGGTATATTATGGACAGGGACTAGAAGGAAACAAGCAAACAAAGACAGTTCATCTGTTAAGGTCATAAAATGGAGGGTTTTTCCCTTGTGTTTTATGTTATTGCTGTTATGATGGTGTTTGTACAATAAATAAAAGAGTGAAGAGGTAAGCACCCGGGCCTGTGCTGGAGTTGTGTAGTGTCGCACACTTGGTGGGTTGTAGGTTCCCAGGTGGTGGGGGACGGTGTGGAGCCGGGGATGGAGAGGTGGAGGTGCCAGGTGGAGGAGGAGGTGGGGAGGGGGTTCCTTAAATCCCATCAGGATTTCCTTCAGGGCTGTGAGTTTTCCTCACAGGCTTGCTTCCTTGTACTCTGGGTCCTGCCAGCTCACACTTCTGAACTTCCAGAACATAACTGTCCCAACTTGTCAGGGCAAGGCCTTGGCGGGCGGAGAGTGGGCTGCCATCCCCCACCATGCCCAGATCCATCTGGAGAGCAATCGGTTGGCTGTGGGGAGCTGGGGGGAAGAGCCCAGCACCCGCCCCCATCTGCTCCTGACACATGACACATGCACGGCAGCCAGGGAGGGAGAAGGCTGCAGGTGGCTGGGAGAAAGAACAGAGCACAACACAGGCCCATTGTCCAGTCCCAGCGAGCAGCCTCTCTGCCATGAGCTCTGCCAAGGGCAGAACCCCAAGCCCCAGAGCTGCAGGTGTGCGTGGGGTAGAGCCTGGCAGGCTGTGGAAGGTGCTGGAGCCTGCCCTGTCCTCTTTGAGAGAGGAAAAGAGAAAAGAAGTATACAGAGGTGTAATAGGGAGGCAGTGGTGGAGGCCGCTTTTTGGGTAGGCAGGGGCTCAGTGGTGCCTCCGCATGCCCCACCCCATCCTGGGCCCAGCACCCACTCTCCTTCCATCCTTTCACCTGTCTTTGCAGAAGGGGATCACCCCCCCTTGCCAAGAAGTACCTTCTCTCCTGCACAAAGAGATGGGAGGTCTGCGTGAAGGCCAGGTTGGGACTGTACCCACCACTTGCCCAAGCACATTCCTAAAGCACGAATATGCTCACCCACCTGTGCCTGAGACCCAGAGCCACTCCTCAGAAACTTCTCCTCTAGGTACAGGGACACGGCCTCACTGCTGCTCAGCCCTCAAGCCCTGCAAGGCAGGAGACTGGTCCTTCTGGGGTTGGGTGTGTGAGGAGGGTACAGCTCTCAGGTGGACAGTGTGTAGGAAGTGGGCAGGTCATGGGGCTTGGTGGGACAGAACAGAGAGCTCCAGCCCTGGGCCAGGGGATGGGAATGGAGTAGAGGGGACTTTTAGAGAAGCACAGTGGGCTCTTTCTGATCGGGTGTAAAAGCAGTCCTTCTTAGAGACAGAAAGATGGTCAAGAGCGGACAAAGCCCTTCCAGTGCTTGATGAATGTCTCTCCGGCCATTGGTGCCAAAGCCCCGTAAGAGCTACATTCATGGAGCCCAGTTATAATAACAGCTAACAGGCTTACTATTTAAAGGCCTGTATCTATGACTTGCCCTGTAGCCCCAGCCCCGGTTCCCAGCTCTCCTTTTCCCTGACAGAACTGCCTGGGTACAGAGTGGCTTTAGGAGAGTCTGGCTGGAGGAGACTGTAATGCCAGAGTCCTGGGGAAGGTGCGTGTCTTCTGCTCAGCCCCAAAGGACAGTAGGGACAGGAAGGGAGAGGAAAGCTATGGCATCTTCCTCTTAGAAGCTTCAGTCAAGTGCCTACAGATGCAGTCTGCAGGCAGCTGCTGAGGCTGGAGAACAGGAAGGGTGGAGTGGGGCTCATGAGCTAGGGCTTGAGTCCCTGCCTGTGGGAAAGTGTTGTCATTGCAGGAGAGTGGGGAGGGTGAGGGATGGACATATTCTTATCTAGCTAGGCCTCTCCTGACTCAAGCCTCTGCCTCAGCAGGGGAAGGAAGGATCATGGATCCTAGGCCAGGGGACATTCAACCTGCCAGAGGAGGTGGCCAGGCAGGGGCCTGTGCCTTCTTTCTCCTCCTCACCCCCTCCCTGCCCAGCTCAGCCTGGGTCCCCTTAAACACTCACACACTCACCCAAAGGGGTCGCCCTGGGTCCAAACCCCAGCCCTGGCATTCCTTAGCCTCTCTGGGTCGGTTTCCTCATCTATAAAACCAGGCAGGGGCAGTTGTGAAGATGATGTGATGGTAATGTTTGCCAAAGCACATAGCACTGTCTGGCACCCAGAAAGCCCTCAATAAATGTCAGCCATTATTTTATCATCATTATTAGTGTTGTGATTATGCAGACCTTCCGTCTCTCCCTCCAGCTGCTCACAATAGACTCCTAAGTACGCTTCCTATCTTTCATCTCTCCTCTCCACTCCGTCCTACACAGAGCTGCCAGAACAACAATCTACAACGACTATTTGGTCACATTATTCTGCTGCTAATAAATGCCCACCAGCTCCCCACTGCCTACAGATCAAATCCAAACACCCTGCATACCAAAGCCCGTCCACCTATCCAGCACAAACAACCTCTCCTGCATCCTCCTTGGCCATATCCCCTCTGTTCCCAATTCCTTATCTCATCCCAAATCTAGCTACCCATCTTTGCCCACCCAAGCCTTTGCTCCTATTATGTCCTCTATGGGGAGTGCCTCTCCTCCAGTGAAAACCCCCAACTCTTCAAGGCTTAGATGAATTCCAGCTCCTCTCTGAAGCCTATTCTGACCCTCACACAGCTTTCTCTGCTGACAGATGCAACCTGTGGCTTATATGTGCTCATCACTTCACAAGTCCTGTGTGGGAAGGCTTCTCAAAGTGTGGTCCTAGGACCAACAGCATCTGTATCCCCATGAGAATTTGGGGATACTATTTTCAGGGGTACTGGGGATTGAATTCAGGGTCACTAGACCACTGAGCCACATCCCCAGCCCTATTTTGTATTTTACTTACAGGGTCTCACTGAGTTGCTTAGTGCCTCACTTTTGCTGAGGCTGGACTTGAACTCGCAATCCTTCTATCTCAGCCTCCTGAGCAGTTGGAATTACAGGCGTTTGCCACAGCACCCAGTTAAAATGCAAATTTTTAGCCCAGCCCCCAGACCTCCTGGATTAGGAAGTCTGGGAGTGGGGCCCAGGAATCTGTTTTAACCATCGGATCTAGACACTACCACACTCTCGTTTGGGGGACCACTGATGAAGGATACCTGTATACTACTGGTGATGCTGGGTACAGAGAAGTGATGAGCTTAATCAAATCAACTGGCTGGCTTCGAAAAAATACAGCTGTCCCAGTCTGACATGCAGAGATTTAATTGATCTGGGAAGGAACGTGTGCATCCGAGGTTTGTTTTCTCTCCCCAACATTTTATTAGGAATATTTTCAAACATACCAAGCTGTTAAAAGATTGCACAGTGAACACTTGTATACCAACTACCTGGATTCTATCATAACAGTTTGCTCTATTTCCTTTATCACATATCTATCTATCATCCCTCTACCCATGCATTCATCCATTTTATTTTTTGATGCATTTCAAAGTAGGTTGCAGACATCATACACATCACACAAACGTGAGTGATTTAAAAGCCCTCCAGGTGGTTACACTGTGCAGCCAGGGCTGCTCAGATCCCAGCTGGGAAACTGACAGCCTCCAAGCCTCAGCTCCTGCTGTGCAGTGGGGATGATGATGGTGATGATGCCTGCTCTGCCCCCCACCCCCCACCCCATCGTTCCACAGATTGAATGAGAAAACCCTTTGTAAAGGACTAGAGGATGCACAGGAAGCAATCCCTGACTCCAGGCTGGAGAGGCAAATGTCCAGAGCTATCATAGGGTTGCTGAAGAAAATCTGAATCATAGATAGATGACAATTTTTTAGCACAAGTATATCCCAAATATTGACAAGACTGAAATATTATTCATTACTTACATGAAATTCAAATTTAACTGGATATCCTATATTTTTATTTGCCAAGTCTGGCAATCCTAGAACTAAGCCCTGTCCTGTGAAGGCGGCAGAGTTGGGATCCTCTATCCAGGGAAGAGTCAGGGCTGGGCAACAGACACTACTGTTTGCCCAGCCAACCCCACATGCCCTCAGATTTAAACGTTACTCTCACCCAAAAACATCTTCATGGAAACATCCATGTTTGATTAAAT